CCGTCGACGACGACGAACCACCACGTGTGTGTGTGTGTGTGTGTGTGTGTGTGTGTGTGTGTGTGTGTGTGTGTGTGTGTGTGTGTGTGTGTGTGTAAAAGGTATAATACTTACATAGACCTCTTTGTTTTTTCTCAAAGCAATGTGAATGTTTTTCAATGTGACAGCTACTGAGTTCAAAGCAGTCCAGGCCTGGCTTCCTCTGGCTTCATTCCTGGTGGTCACTGAGAACTGCTCAGAAGAATTTGTGCATGTCTCAACTATTGTATAATTGCATCCACCCTGGAAATGGTACAGTCTCCCATCAAAGGTTATGTAGTGTGGATCCCCATAGATGTGGCAGGTGTTGATGTCCAATGGATAACATCCCAAGATTCCATTCTGCACCTTGCAAATTTGGCTTGCTTCACATGTCTTTGGACTGCAGACTATGGTGTTGTTTCCCACACAGTTACATTGGCTTTCACAGTTTGTTTCCCAGAAAGTTTCCCCTCTCTGTTAGAGACAAGCAAATAAATACAGGTATAAAAGCTGAGCTTGACTGCAAGCTGTGAAATACTGCCCCAGACATCTCCCATACATTAGAACAAACCTCATAATATTTGTCTTTGTAAAGGCAGCCGCAATTGACCATGGAAACACACTGTCCACCGCTGAGAACAAACCCGCTGTTGCACTCACATCCCTCCACGCAAGGTTTACTGCAGTTGCTTGCTGCTACTGGGTTGGAGCAGGTTGCAGGACAAGCACTAGTGCATGGATTGTAATGACTATTGGAATGGCAAGGAAGTGCTGAAAAACAAATCAAAACGCTAGAGTCTAACTCACAGCTGAAAATCTGCATTCAAAACCCAGGATATTTAGCTTTTCAGTAACAACTTATCTTAAGAAAAGTTTTTGAAACCCAAAAGTCCCTATTTCAGGACTAGAAGATAAAAGAAAAATATAGTTTGTAGCTGAGAAGGACCTTAACAACCAAATACAAATACCCTGAACTCTGGGGAAGTTCAGACCCAAATCAGAATTTTGCATCTCTAAACCATATCTAGTTACTAGTGGATAAATCTCCATATCACAGGGGGACTGGCATTAATTGACATACTGGCTATAGAAAGGTTCAGAACAGTTAGCCATGAACACTTGACTAAACTATCCTTACACCTGTGTGGGAGGAATTTGGTAGATAAACACTGGCAAGACAGTCTAGGGTCAGCTCAGACAGCTGCTGCCCTTTCTGTACCTGTCCTCAGACAGAGGATTTCATTCTTCCTGTTGTCAGTCAGGCACCTTTCATGCACATGACATTCAGGGGTTTTGTAATCTCAAAATATCAGGAGTGAATAATGGAAACTTTTAGAACTCTAAATCATGCAGTACATGGGTAGTAAACACTCTTTTGCAACACTAGAGTAGGTTGTTCAGACATTCGATTCCCTGCAGATACTCACGGCAGAAGGTGGCGTTTCTCCACTGGGGGAGAGTCACTCCAGCTTCCTGACACGCATCCGCGTAGGTCTCCAGAGCGTTACACAAGAGCTGCTCACTCCCATTCAGCGCACAGAGGTCATAGACACAGCTCTCAAAGATGCTCTCAGGATTGATCACGGAGTGGCAGACCCCAAAGGGGCCAGGCCTCTTGGTTATCATGCCGCAGAATCTGTCTGTTTTGTAGAGGTTCTCCTGGTCTGCAGTGCAGGGTTTGGGTGGGATGATGACATCACAAGAAGGATCGTCGTCCTTGACACGCCAGCTGTTTCCCAGCTCATTAGAGTTCTTGGCTTGCTGCCCGTCGGGCATCATATAGTCATCCTGTCTGCGATTGTTAAAGTTACCGCACATGCCACAGGTCCTGTTGAAATAGGTGGTGGGCACCTTCACTTCCACCGAGTGATCGGTGTCATAGGAAACCCTCAGTCTGAAATCTGTCTCTAGGGTAACGTATCGTCCACTCCTGCTCACTGCGATTGACCCACCAGCTGTGGTTACGGGGAGAGTTGACCATATTTTATTGATCTAAGACAAATGAATCCATGAAGTTAGGGGTTAGAAATGTGATCTTTAATGGATTTCATTCTGGTGAAACAAAGGGCAGTTTTGTAAAAGAGAATACTACAAAAATATCCTGCATTTGCATTTGCAAATTAAGTAATTCTGTGACCATACATGTAGTTAGTGGGGCCAGTTACTTAGCTGGTGCAATTCAGTGGAGCCAATGGAGTCAGGTTGGTTTACACCAGATGAGGAACTGGCACAATATTTCTAATTATGCACATTTCATGAACAAATCCAGAGCCTTGTTTGGAAGCAACATGTGCATTTGTTTTTGCAGGCATACACTTCATTCCCTCCTTCCAGAATTGTGACCGAGAGGGTCCTGGAGAAAGGAGATTTTCTTACACCTGGCCATGCTACTGGCAACGCATACTGTAGTGCTCCTGTCTGATTCCAAACTCCTGTCTCTAATAAGTGACTGTTTTCACCCACGTGTTCCTGTGAATAAAGACTTGTCGGGTTACAAGTCTTTTATGTTAGCTACCAGAGCATTAGCTCCGTCTAGTGGATATTAATAGCTCCTATGTGTGCCTAGATTTCTTTGATCCATTACTTTGTTATTGTGGCAAAGCCAGATACTCTTAATATCCTTAGCATTACACTTAACGTGAAAGTAGAACATTCCATTTTTGCTCAATTCTGCCAAGGCTGCATTTCACCTCTGAATCCAAAATGTAATGGATCCAAAAAAACTCACCAGTACACGATTTGGTGTTGCCTTAACTATTTCTATGTGTTGTCCATACACCTCCACCAGGACTTTCTGCACATAGGACACCGCAGAGTACCCTCGATGCTCGTTCTTGGCTTCTACGTTGAAATAAGGCAGAGAGCTGGAGTTGTGGCACACTTTGGCCAGCGTGTAGGTGCACT